AGCTCCCCAGAGCCTGGCACTAAAATATGCCTCATCAGTATGTGCTGGGTTTCACCAAAGTGCTGCATCGGGCGAGCATGTGGGTCAGTTCAGCAGCTGCGTAGAGGATGGAAAGGTGACCGGGAGACATGAGGAGCAGCTAAAACAGGCAGGAACCACCACCACCCACCCGCCACGCCCCCGCCGGAAGTGATCTCTATAGAGGGACCCATTTCTAAAAGTCAGACAAAGATGAGTCCATATGAAGCCAGGGGTTTCTACGTAGGGTGGGCATCCACTCAAACCACTGCATGTTGTCACCTGTCACGCTAACATCGCTGCCCTGTTTCACAAACACAACTGCTCCAGGTCCAGAGTCTACTTTTCTTAATGGGAACTTTTTTATTTCCTCTACAGAGGGAACAAGTAACATCACCTCTCTAACTACATCCGACTGTTCTTTCTTTCTCTGAATGGTCACAAACTCCGTGTCATCCACCTCCACCATGCTCCCACCAGGCGCAAAGCCAGAACAAAGCAGCTCTCACGGGATCCCGGGAGAACGCGGTTCAGCCGGGCAGGCCCCTTTTCTTCCTGCCCCATCCCTGAGAAAACTTCCCATGTGTAGGGAGTAGCTGAAGGCACAGGGATGTTGGTGCCTCCAGGGAGCATCAGCTTTGAGGAGGGAGGCTGCAAACCAGCAACCGGAAAAGCCAAACTGACGGTTCACTCTTTCATCCAAGTATGATTTCTGCAGCATCTTTTTGTCTCAGGCACGGGCTCAGGGCCATGAGGTTACAAAGATGAGCTAAGCAAGTCCCTGCTCTCCAGGACATTTTGTCTATTATAGGCAATAAGACACATGTTCAGGAGGAAAAAAAAGGAGGAAATCGCAATAAGATGTGATAAGAGCTAGAAGAGATGCTCAAAGCTCAAAGATATGGGAGGAAGGGCTCTGGTGACAATCAGGAAAGGCTTCACGGAGGAAGTGACACCTGAATTTGGTTGTGGAGTGGGGAAGAATTTAGATGTACAGAGCTGGGCATGGATAGGACAGTAGAGAAAAGACTGACCACTGAAGACCAGGAGGACAGCAGGGTCAAAGCAAAGAGGCTGGGAAGAGGGAGACAGCACAGCTGAGAGCTTTAGTCCCGAAGCCAGTGATGAAGAGGAAAAAGGAGGGATGTGGTTGCAGAAATCCACATTCAGGCCATGGAATCAGGTTCCTGCCCGCCATCCCAGAGTATCTGGACATCAGCACCTACCACAATTTCTGGATGCTTTGTAAATACTCAACAGAAATTTTATGAATAAATTGATGGAAGATAATAAAACCCGCATTTCTGCTTAAGAGGCTTTACAATACAAATAAAGTAAAACACCACTCACAGGGTCATTAACAAGCCAGCTAATAAGTAAACCCCCAGCAAGAGCCTGTTTGAAGGGGAAAAGGAATGAAGGGCACCAATTTGATGGAAAACCAGGAGACTCACATGGGAAATGAGGACTTTCTAAGCATCCATATCGATGCTTCACCTCTAAAAACAAATTACAAGAACAGAAGTGCTCCTGGTAACGGGTATTCAATAGCTTGTGTTGGGGGTGGTTCTCACTGTCAAAATCGAAGGCTTAAGAACAAGGCCTTCTATTGATTGTAAACAAATGCCTACTCTGGGTGCGGCTCTGCCCCTGCACACAATATCCCTCAACACGTCCAAGTAACTGGTCTTCACTTCCACTGCCTTACATGTCACACACTGCTAGTTTTTGTGACTGCCTTCACCTTCCCTTTGGCACTGTTCACTCACATTTTATGTGTTACCCAAATCTACCATGAATCAGTGCACATGCTCTGCTGCTCCATCTACAAGCCCGCGTGTCTCTGGGAGCTCCTCACGCCACACAGAAGCAGATGCCTTTATGGAGACCCATACACTCTGAGTGTTCCTGTTCAGTTCCACTAGGACCAAGAGGTCCCTGACATCAGGGGCGTTTCCTTCATCCATGAGGCTGCAGGGCCTAGCTCACAGCCAGCACTTAGCAGGTGCCCCTCCCAGGCTGCTGACTGATGATGCCGAGAGGAACCAGCAGAGAGGGGCTTCCAGGCTCCTTCCTCCACAACAGTGGAGGGTACGGACCTTGGTCTTCAGGTTTCTGTATTTCTCAAGTGCCCTGTTCTCTTAGTGACTGCCACCAGGAACTCAGTGCTGCCCAGGACCCCTGGGAACATGTGACTCACTCCCAGTGAATAAACAGGCACAATGTATAAGGTGTGACCACCCAGGATACCTCAGAGAGGGAGACACACTTTCCACCTGGCTCTCGGTGGCTCCCAGGAAGCTTGCACTTGGCATCGGCCACCATGTTGTTAGGAATCTCAGGCCACATGGAGAGACACGTGAAGGAGTTCCAGCTCCAGCTCCAGTTGAGGCCCGGCCAACAGTGGGATCAACTCCCCACTATGTGGTGAGTGAACATTCAGAGAACTTCTGCCCCAGCTAACGCCAACTGGGGCAGAGAGGAGCTGTCTCTACTGAGCCTCGTTCACACCGAAGATTCGTGAGCAAAGTAAACATTAGGATAAGCCAGTACATTCGGGGAGGTTTGTTACACAGCAATAGAGGACAGCGTCTCCTGGCAAGTCACTTTCCCTCAGCTGGCACTCACTCCCTACACGTAAAAGGCCTGAGTAGGACCACGTGATCTCCAAGTCCTCACTTTGTTCCGACTTTCAAAGTTCCTGTACAGGTGCACACACCAGCTGCCACTCGCCCAGTGGCTGCACAAATGCAGGACGCTCGAATCAGTCCACATCCACCCCCACTACATGCAGCCCAGGGGAAAACCAGCACGAGGAGCAACACAGCCTCACTAGTTTCCTACACTGTGTGGGGCACAGATGTTGTTATGGGTAGAATTATGTCCCCCCAAAAAACGCCATGCTGGAGTCCTAACTCCTAGTACTTCAGAATGTGGCCCTATTTGGAATTAGGGTCTTTACAGAGGTCATCAAGTTAAAATTAGATCATTAGATGGGGCCCTAATCCTATACGACTGGCGTCCTCATCAAAAGGGAAATTTGGACACAGACACAGGCATGCACAGAGGAAAGATGGCCAAGTGAAGATGGACGATTGGAGTGATGCATCTGTAAGCCAAAGAGCCCAAGGATTGCTGGCCACGACCAGAAGCCAGAGGAGTCCAGGGGGATTCCCCTAGGGGTTTCAGAGGGAGTGTGGCCCTGTCGACACCTTGATTTCAGACTTCTGGCCTCCAGAACAGTGAGAGAATACATTTCTGCTGTTCTGAGCCACCTGGTTCGGGGTACCTTGTTACAGCAGGCTGACACACTCATACAGAGGTGGAGGGGTAGGCACTGAAGCTGGCGGCGCGGGAGCAAGGAGGAAGAAATGTAAATGGAGCTAGAATCAGCTGTCCAGATGGAGGTCAGCAAACTGGCCCTTGGGCCAGATCTGGTGCACAATCGGCTCTCTTCTGTTTAGCTTGGCTTTACTGAGCTACAATTCACATACATTACAACTCACCCCTTTAGAATGTACGAGTCAACGGCTGTTAGTGTATTCAGGGTTGTGCAACCATCACCACAGTCGATTCTACCACCTGTTTTTGTAATCAGAGTTTTTCTGGAACACAGCCACGGTTCTTTGTTGACATATTGTCAGAGGCTGCTTTTTCCCAACCAGGCAGAGTTGATAATTGCAACAGAGATCTTCGGGCGTGCAAAGCCAAGACCATCTACTGTGGGGCCCTTTCCAGAAAGCATTTGTCAGCCCTGCCGTGGATCTCCTCAGCTTTGCCAAGGGGCCGGCAGGGAGGATTACGGAGGAAGCAATTACAGGTGGATCTTCTCCTATTGCTACAAAACCGCCTAGACTTGGCTCCTTCATCTCCCAGATGGAGATGACAGGGTGGCCTCAGGGCTGAGGTGACAAGTGCTGTGAATGTGATAACTGACTGACTGAGCCCTTCAAGCCTCTTGCTCACACTGGGGAGCTGGCACAGACCGACTCTCTTCCAGCTAATCTCCCGGGGGCTTCTCCCATCACCCAGAGGAGAATCGGAAGGTCTCACCGTGGCCTGCAAAGCCCATGCGGTCCAGACTCAGATCATCTCTGACCATGTCTGCTTCACTCCTGCTCCATAGACCTTCATGCCACAGTTCTACCTATCAACCCATCCTTGTCCCCTGCCTGAACTGTCACCTGTCTGGACTGTCCCCCTATGCCTGGACTGTCCCCTCTGCCTAGCACTGTCCTTCTGCCCTGTTCTACACACTCTCTCAGCCAGCTCCTTCACATCACTCAGCGCTCAGCCATGGGCACCACCTCCAAAGGGCCTTCCTGACCACACAATCTAAAAGACCACCCCCCAATCACATCTGCTCCATAGGTGAATTCACATTATGTATACGCTGCTGGTGTATTATCTCTGTGGCTACACGGAATGTGGGTTCCATGAGAGAAGGACGTGTCTATCTTATTCACTGGAGTATTTCCAGCTCCTAGAATAGTGGCTGGTGGACAGCAGGAAATAAATACATATTGTAAGTATGAACACACATTAACATGCGGGCCCTCAGTAAACCCCACAGGCTACACAGACAGGCATAGGGACTTTTCTCACTTGTTCCCTGCTACCCTTTCCTGTGACTAACCTGCTCACCTCTGGGCCTCTATAGAAGGCTCTTGAGTAAGAGCTATGCGAGGATTAACTAAACATAGTGGATCATTGTCAAGGCCACGGCAAGGTGCAAGGAACCTAAAGTCTGATGTTACAGAACCACCATGTGGTAACTGTGATATATATTTACTCCAACTGTGGGCCAGGGCTACCACAAGCATAATCTTAGACCAGGACATATTTGGGCAGGAACTACATTTACTAGCTCTATTTTTCTATACAGCAGATCTCCAATCAATTGTCAAGTCTTCTGGAAACCACACACAGATGCTCTCTCTCTCTTTCCGTAAGATCAAAGCTACAGGTGAGTCACCTCCTACCTGTGTCCGATGCCAGATCACAGAAGCCCTGGAATGGCCCAGCTTGTTCCGGCAGGGCCCTTTATCATAATGGATCAGGAGGAAATCATCCTGGGAAGAAAAGAAAGAGGAGTTGATGGGAGTTTCCTCTCAGTTTAGCGGATGAGTCCTGCCTGCGCCCAGTGTCTTTCTTTACGCTCAAAGTAAGTGGGGATGTGAGAGAGAGTGGGTAACAACAGAGGAAGAGCATCTACCCGCAACACGTGGCTGCTGCCACTCCAGGGCCACTGCTGGTCCCCAGGGCCTCCATCCTCCGTGGGCACTAGAGGGAGCCCTGCCCCAGATTCCAGTCTCAGCCTGCAGAAGGGCTCCCCTGGGCTCAGGGGCCTTCTGATTCTGCAGGAAAGCAATTCTCGCTGACCCAGGGCTTCTGAACAAGCAGGTCAGAGGATCCAAAAGCTGCTCCCGGGCCTGGCTGTGCTTGATCCCGCCAGGGTCCTTCTGCCTTCGCATGCTCCCACCGCCCTGGCAGGATTACTCTGGGATTAGATGATTTCCTTACATCTGGTCCATCCTCTTCCACTAGTGCCAGGCTTCTCACTTGGAAAGCGCTTCCTTTCAGCTCAGATCATTAAAATGTCCTCATTATTCACCAACTAGCTCGGGACCCATCTCCCACCTACAATTTCTCCAACTGTCTAGAAGTGAGCAGAAGCTCCCTCCACTCTCATGGAAACAGCCCCGTCCTACCTCCCTCCAGGTGTTCTCACGTCCCACCTTGACCTCCAATCACCAGGCTGTCAGGTTCTTGGAGTTGGGACCCTCACTGATGTCAGACTCTGTAACTATGTTCCCAGCTCAGTGCTTGGCACCCAAAACCTGAACAAGCATCGAAGCGCGGGCGGGAAAGGGTTTTCTGTACACTCCCTCTGCTCCTCCACAAACGGAGATGCCGTCTTCTCTCCTACTGTCCATAAAACGAAACAGCTCAGTCAACAGTACGAAGGAGGCCTCGATGGCTGTTTAATTCACTTAGCTGAGGGTATAAACAGAAAGCCTCTTTTTGAGAAAAGAATCAATATGCACAGGGCCCAACGCGTCTGAGAGGACACGAAGTCACTCTTCCGAGAGACAGGGAGAGCTGGACATAGCGGCTGTCGTCTGGCCCCTAAAATCAACTCTGCTAGCCCAGCCCTCCCCTCCTCCCGAGAAGGCGCCCGGCCTTTATACAGGTCAAACTCGTGGTGCCTGAATGCACCGTGAGCATCAGGAAACCCTAGGTTTTCTGGTCCAACAGCAAGAAGCCTTCGCAGGAGGTCAGAAGTCCTAGTCTGCCACCACCGCCTCACCCCTCTCCCCAGATCCCTCCTCTGTAAACAGACACGTAGATGTAGATGAAGGCAAAGCCTCTTCCGGCTGGAGCTTTGTCTTCCATGAAGCTACCATTGCTGACGACTTCTACCCACTGTGGACTCTGTCTTCCTTGCACTCTTAGTTGAATTTTCCTTTACTGATATTAATCTGCACAAATCCCTGAGATCAGTTAATTTTTCACTTGTCTCTCTCTTTTCCCAGACTGCCCATCACAAAGTCTTGCACCGTAGGCTCTTGAATAGTCTCTGAATTTATTCTCTGAAACACAAACCAAATCGTGTTGCACCGCCCAGTTGAAAAGTCCTTGATGTTCTCTTCCAGCAGAGGAGGACAGACCTGGCTGCACACGGGGTCACCTGGATAGCTCACTGGAGATGCAGATCTGGGCCTCACCACACAGATCCTGACTCGTAGGTCTAGGCTGTGGCTCAGGTCACAGACTCCTCAAGTGGCCCCGATCCAACCCATTGTTGGACCAGCGCTTGGGAAGTACGAGCCAGTGCAAGAGGTCAAACTCCTCAGCTCAGCACAGAGACCCTCGTCCCGGCCCGACTTCTCTCGCTAGCATTTCTGGCCATGCCCAGGCCACCGACAATGCACGCCCTTCTTCATTACGTCGGGTTCTCTGGGAGCTGCCTGCCTCGGCACATTGTATTCTCTGTGCCTAGTGAACTCCCTCTGCCTCAGCTGTCACTGCACCCGACCTGCCCAGACCCGGTGCCCTCCTCCTCCAAGGGGCTGCCAGGGACTTCACGCCCATTGCCTGTGGCACTCTTCACAAGGATGTATTGCTAACAGGCGCTAGGGGCTTCTCCACCAGATCAACCGGTCCTCAAGTCACGGACTTTGCTGGCCTCATCCTAGCACCCCGGCCTCCACCCGGAGTTGAGCTGTGACACCCAGGGCATGCTTCCTGAACAGAAGGAAAGCTTGTTCAAATAGTACCTTCTTCCCTCTGACAAAGGCACTCTAAGACGCTTTTACAATAGATGATTTCATTGTGACTTTATTGATGAAGCCCTTGGGCATAACAACCTCAGGACCTGCCAGGAACCTAGGTGCATTTTTCTGCTAGGGAACACTTCCCTTCTATTGTTCAGAAAAGTTTCACGGAGCTCCTAGGTGGAAACAGAAACAATGGAGCGTGCTACAGAAAGCCGAAATCAGCTAGATGTTCAAAGACAAAAATAAATTCCTTAGAGCAATTCAACCACCTTAAGGTTGTTAAGGTTTGAGCTTTCCTGTCAAACTCTGGCTTGCAGCAGCCTGGTCTAACCCAAAGTTGTTGGTTTTTAGAGTCGGAAAGATCAGAGTGGATGCCGGTTCGTTCCTCATCCCTTCGGTGCTTCTGTCAACCTTCCTGGACTTCTTGAAAAAATGAAATAATAATTCCAACTATCAGAGAAAGATTGCATATATTAAATAAAACTGTTGGACAAATGGCACAGTGCTGGCGCATAATAATTACTTCAATAAATACTGACTATCCCCTCCAAAAAAAATTAATAAAAGGAAGTATGTGTGTCCGTTCTGACTGGGAGTAGAGGTTGCTGGGATGGCCTGGACAGGGAGAGGCAGGACAGGCGGGGCCACACCAGTGAGGACTCAGGGCACTGGGGCTTGGCCAGGTGCAGAGGAGCAGGAATAAGGAATACGATCAGAAGAAAGTAATTTGTGACTCCTTGAAGCGTCCATGTGCAGGAGATCATGCCTCGGGAGGAAGATTCCCGAGAGGAGGAAAGAGCAGTGAGGCACACTCCTCTGTCTGAGAAGGGCTGCTGGCCGCCAGCCACCGCCACGCACTCGTCGTCAATCATTGCTGCTGTTCTCGATCAATCTCCCCAAGAGCAGACGCCCTTTCTTTAAGAATCTGCTTTCTATGGCTACAGGGTCATTTTTCAGCAGCTCTTCACTACAAAGAAAAATAGGAAACTGTGGGCCACGAGGACGGTGACTTTCAAGGAGTAACGTGCAGTGTGGCACCTCCGTCATTCGTCCAGAGAGACAGACGCACCCAGGCCTCCTCGCACAGGCGGGAACCGCGCTTCTGAGTCAGATAGAGAGGGCTTCTCCAGAGCCCAGAACAGAGCGAGCACCTGTGTGTTCACAGGAGACGGACAGCGCGTCTCACCTCCCGCTCCTCGTAACTCACTCCGAGCGAGGTAGCAAGGGGAGGCAGCAGAAACAAGGACGGCTCCAGAAATCAAACTTCCGTCAGCCCATTTCTAATACTTCCCTAAAAAGCTTCACGGAGGCCTGTTGACATGCAGTAAAACGGGCATTCACTTCCTTTCCCCTTCAGGAAAAGTTACAAGGAGTGGCAGAGTGCAGGCCAGATATTATATAATATGGCATAATTTAATGATCAGTTTTCAAAAAAAAAATGGAAAACAGTAAAATACAAAATTATATATATATATACACACATATATATATTTACATATGATATGTTACTTAAATAAAATGTAAAATAAATATATAATACATATATTTCATATTACTTATTATTTATTTATATATATTATATTTATATATATAAAGACTTTGAAGGCCTGAAGACTTTGTAATGCTTCAGACATCATTCTAAACATCCCCTTCCCATCACACAAGGTCAGGGAACAAACCTGTTGTTTGGCCTTAAGCTAAAGAAAATCAATCTTGCCAAACTGATTTATTAAACTTGCCTAGGAAAAGAAAATGAAGCCTCCAGGATAGAAAAATGGTAATATTTTCCCAAGATGTGTTCAGCTACACAAAATTCTACTGTGAATCCAGTAATTTAAAGTTAATAAAAAGTTAATAAAGGAACAACGGGCTTTTCAAAGGAACAACCCCAAAAAAGCAATCTATCTAATATTTTTTAAGGTGGCCTTTAAATTACAGACCTGTTACCTTATTTAAGATTCCATCTCAATAGATACTTATGTTCTTCTTGATATTCTATAGGCCCATCCTTCTCAGGACAGGCAAACTTTCAGTTATTCCCCTTGCCCACTGTATGCACATTTCTCCTTCACCTTCACAGCCTGACCCTTCTCAGCCATTGTGTGCTAAGTTGAACCGTTCTGACATAACCTCTCAGCAGGGAAATAGTGCTCAGAAATAGTGCTCTGATTGTAGAGAGCCAAGGTGAGAAGGAGCAGTCCACAGACAGACGAACTCCTGACCATGTAAACATGGATGTTTTCTGACCCCTCTTTACTTTAATTAGATCTTTTTGTTTATTTGTTTTGTTTTGTTTTTTTGTGAGGAAGATCAGCCCTGAGCTAACATTCATGCCAATCCTCCTCTTTTTGCTGAGGAAGACTGGCCCTGAGCTAACATCCGTGCCGATCTTCCTAAACTTTATATGGGATGCCGCCACAGCATGGCCTGACAAGCAGTGCATCAGTGCGCAGCCGGGATCCGAACCTGGGCCGCCAGCAGCGGAGCACGCGCACGTAACCGTTATGCCATGGGGCTGGCCCCTACTTTAATTAGATCTTGATGGCTTAACACGATTACTGAATGAGCTAGACACGTTCATCCTTGCTGTATAGGACAGACATATATAAATACATCCCTTTGATGACATATGACTTGATTTGCTTCGACTGTCACTAACTACAATGATTTTAATAGATGATTACTTCTATTTAATTATAGTTTTAAAAATCAATGTACAAGGGCCGGCCCGGTGGTGTAGTGGTTAAGTTGGCATGCTCTGTTTTGGTGGCACAGGGTTTGTGGGTTTGGATCCCAGGCGCAGACCTATGCACTGCTCTTCAAGCCATGCTGTGGTGGCATCTCACATACAAAGTAGAGGAAGATGGGCACGGATGTTACCTCAGGACAATCTTCCTCAGCCAAAAGAGGAAGACTGGCAACGGATGTTAGCTCAGAGACAATCCTCCTCACCAAAAAAATCAAAACAAAATCTATGTACAAAGAAACTTCTCTAAAACTAAGTCATATGTCATCATTTTGGCAAGATGCCCAGTCTCTTAACACAGGTGAGGAAGGAGGATAGGAGCTGAAAAGATGCATCGTTTGTATCAGACCTCGAAGCTCCAGAACCAGTGGGTGCTCCAAGACGGCTGGGCCAGGACTTAGCCACGCACAGGGACAGAGGGTTTGGGAAACACTCGTGGCAGAAGGGTGCGCTTTGGAGAAGGTGGCCATATGAGTCTAGAAACTCCCATTCTGATGGACAGCAGAGGGGTCGTATGTTTTTCTGCTCTGTAGGTGACACGAGCATTACTGAGGTAACTATTCCATGCGAGACGCCTCAGTCTCCTGCCTGTTTCTCCCTGCTCTTCCAATAATGGTGCCTGCTACAGACTGCAGGTTTGTGTCCTCCCACGCCCAAAATTCACATGCTGAAGCTCTAACCCCAATGTGATATTTGGAGACGGGGCCTTTGTGAGGTCACTAGGTTCAGATGGGGTCATGAGACTGGGGCCCCAATGATGGGATTAACATCCTTATAAGAAGAGGAAGCTCTGCTGTTGTTTCCTCTCAGGGGAGGACACAGCGGAAAGGCGGCCATCCATATACCAGGAAGCGGGATCTCTCCAGAACCCGACCACGCTGGCACCTGATCGCAGACTTCCAGCCTCCAGAACTGAGACATAACTTGTTGTTTCAGCTCCCAGTCTACAGTGTTCTGTTACAGCAGCCTGAGCTAACAGTCCCCACAGACAAAACCTCAGATCCTAAGATCCATCCACCCCTTTAACCCCAGCTGAATCCCAAGCCTGAGCTGACCTTTCACCTCCTAGAACTCCTGCACGAATTACTGTCTTCAACACCATAGCATTCAATGCATTAACATTGTCATAAGCACAGAAAAAATGTCTGCTGGTGTTACTTCTGTTTCACAGGAATATTCTCTAAGCTCCTCAGGAAATGGCTGGTCTATGTTTCCCACTCCAAGTCTGCACTTCAAAGCCAAAAGCACCAAGGTCAAGCTCGAGGCCATACTCACGTCTAGAGACTCGAGGCAGTACCAGCAGAAGGCATGTTTGCAGTTCTTGCACATCATCTGGGCGCACCCCTCGTCCCGCTCGATGTAGACCTTGCACTTGGGGCAGCGCTTGATGGGCGCGTCGTCCTCCTCCAGCTTGAACGCGGAACTGTGGGAGAAATTCCATCAGGGCTCCGCTCGGAGGGACCCGGCAGAGATGCATCCACATGGGCTACGCCAGAAGCATCAGCCCAACTAAAGCAACCGAGGTCACTTGTTATTAAATGAAATAAAATGAAACCAAAGAAACCGAAACTCTGGACAACAAGCATCAGAAAACTGTGCATCAGCCAGTTTAATTTAGGGAACAAAAGAACAACATCAGGACAGATCTAAATTTAGATCTATATAGACAACCAAAAGAAAATATGGCAAAATGCTCATAATGGAGGTATCTGAGTCATGGGATTACAGCAAAATTTTATGCCCTTATTTATACATTTGTATGCTTTCCAAAGGGTTGTAATAATTTTTCTGTACTTTGCTATTATCATAAAAGTGTTACAAACATACACTAATTGTTTAGCTAGATCTACCTGGCTTGTCCTTACAAAACTGTCTTCTTGAGAAGCCTGCCTAGGCTTGCAGTGGTTAGCATGATGGGCTTTAAGCCTGGGCTGAAGTGCTGGCTCTGCTACAAACTAGGTGTGTAAAAACCTCTCTGAGCCTCAGTCTTCTCACCAGTGTGAGCGTGATAGAAGATTACGTATGAACCAAGCACAGTGCAGTATCAAGCACATGTGAAGTGCCCCATAAACGGTAGCAACAGTTCTATGCTGCTAATAAAAAGATAAAGATAACGCAGATGTTTAGCTATGACTAGGGAAGGAGGTCCATGCCGTGCTGCTAATTTTACAAATACGGCTAAAATAATATGCATGAGAACATCTGAAAGAATAAATTGTAAACTGCTAAGAGAAGTTAGCGTGGACTACGGGGCGCATTTGCTATACTGTTTGAACTCACTGCATCAATTCAGCATCACCAGGATAAAAATGATTTCCCACTGGGTTGAGCAGGCTTTTCAGAACTTAATGCATTTATGACTATACATTCACTAAGTTGAGCAAATTCTGGCATTTTGAGTGCACTCTGGCTGGAGGATCTTCCACGAGCATCATAGTAAACAGAAGGATTAAATACAGTTTCACTTTAGTATGAGTGATCTGATGATTAGCAGTGAACTTGCCATATGATCACACCCACAGGGCTTTCCTGTGCGCATGACTCCTCCACCACGGGGCAATGCTCAGGCTGAACGGGGTCCTGTTTGTCCACCTGTAGGTGACCAGTTAGGAAATGAAGCACACAGGCTCCTAGTTAGGAGCATAGAGTCTTGAGACAGACAAGTCCTAGCTGTGCTATTCATGTATTACCAGCCTTGGTCTCCTCATCCACAGAAATGAGGCTAATTGTATACATCTCAGAGGGGTGTTGTGAGATTAAAAGAGTTTCCGTGGACTGAGGGCACAGGCACAAAATCCCATGCGTATGTGGTGAGCACTCGATAAGTGGCAGCTGTGATTAATACTATCACTGAAAGAGAGTAAACTGTCTCTAGCTCACATTCTTCTCCAATTTAAAAGCAAACTACAGACCAACCTGGCTGCACAGAATGTGATTTGGAATGAACTAGGGTTGCCGCAAGGAGCGAATGAGCTAACAGAGGTGCAAGTGCCTCGAAGGGGACCTGGCACAGGCAGCTCTGCACAAAGGCTACTGTGGTCTCCTTCTCAAATGAACTTGACTTCTGCAAAGAGCCGGAACTCACAGGCACCAATGCCCGTGATTAAGGTTGACCATCAGGTTAGATACCATTGGTTTGGATTGAAAGCCAGGTGTGACATTAAAGTAATGAAACCAATTTTCTCATGTGACTCACAAGCTAATTTTGAAGGAAATGCCATTAACAAGGGCAACATTAATGAAGAGCAGAGAGTGTCTCTCGGGGAGACTTTTCAAAACAGAAACAGTTAAAATATGCAAGTTCTGGTGCACTACCACATGCAGAGAAATGTACATGGTATAGACAACGGTTTTCAAACATTTTCTGGTACCTGACTTATATTTCAAATTATTTTTGGTAACAACTCTTACTATAAACTCAAATTTACAAAGGCAGATAGGAGTCTTTGATGGCTTCTGACAATCTACATGTTCTAATGTCTTTAAGGGGCAGACACAGTGTTCATGAGTGAAGCTAGCCAAGTGGTGGATAAGAATGTGGGTTAAGGGAAGATTTAATTTTTAAAAAATAAATTCTACCATATGAAAATAGCTGAGTGTACTCTCAGTTATAAATGACACCTGACAGTCAGCCTCAGGACCAGGGAGACAAGAGGGAGTGGTGAGGACCGTGGCAAACTAAAGATAGCACAACCCCCCTTCTAAAGAGGGGGCTCTGCTCAGCTCTAGCTGACTGTCAGCAAGTGGGAATGTATGATGATTTAATACACATATACATTGTGAAATGACTGCCGCCCTTGTGCAATGACCTAAATGAGACCAGAAGACCACAGACGAAGAAACACTAAGTCACAGGCTTGAGGAACTCACAATCCTCCATCTTAAGAAGGTTTTATGCCAAAGAAATGTCACAGTTGAGTCCCTCCTCCATCCCACCAGGAGTGGGACACTGGCTCTTTCCCACTCTTGGTTTTCCTGCTTAACAGAATGTAGGAACCCACTCACTCACTTACGGGGCGGGGGGTTCTCTTGTAAACAGACAACCCAACTGCTTCACGAGGGCAAATACTTCAACCTGCTTTCTACTTACAGTCCTGTGTCACTTACCAACGGTGATACATCCTGAGAGATGCATCGTCAGGCCATTTTGTTGTTGTGCAAACATCATAGCATGTCCTTACACAAACCTAGATGGTATAGCCTACTACATACCTAGGCTGCATGGTACTAATCTCACGGGACCACTGTCAAACACGCGGTCCGTCGTTGACAGAAACATCATTATGCAGAAACTGTACTTCCTCCCCACCCTGGAAATCCCGCTCTCCCAATTACGAGTAATCTGACCGTACAAGAAGTATGTTTCTTCTTGCAAAATTAGGAAGCATTGAGACCCTAACTACAAGTGAAGTGATTCACTCTTGCATTTGAGTGTCTACTGTATGCCAAGATCTGGGGTGACAAAGTTCAAGCGAGCACAGGCCGTGACGTGAGGAGCTCAGACTAATGGAAGAATCAGCGACATAAACAGACGAACTAAAACACAATACGGCTGGTGCCATAATCAATGCAGGCATCTCCTGCGGGGACACAGAGGGTGGGGTCAGCAGCCCTGCCCTGGGAACTGGGAAGCTGGACAAAGGAGGGGACCTGAGCCATGTCTTCGAGGGTGACAAGGCGTCTCCAGGGAAAGGAGGAGGGGGGAGAAGGGGCATTCCAGGCACCGGCACAAACACGCAAATGGGAGAAAGAAGGGATGTGTCAGGGACGCCAAGAGGGCCTCCGTGCAGGTCAAGCCCTGAGAGTCGGGGCAGGGACAGAGAATGGGGAGAGAGAGGAAACCAGGGGGCAGCTGGTGACCACAGCTTGCGGTGGATGGTGGGAGTTCCTCTATCAGGAACGTGGTCTCAATGGTGCAGGGCCAACTCTATCCAAGTGGACCATATGCCCATGCAGATTTTGTAGGGGAAAAAAACTGAATATTATCAATTTCTTATGGTTCAACCTACTAAATTCCAAGGCACAGAGAACGATGCTGCATTGTCCACCTGGGCATCCAGCCTGACGGTCCAGCGGGGGACAGGAGGGCAGAAACACTGTAGTGAGTCACTGTATCCTTCCTGACAAGCTCTTTATTTCAGGGAGATGTAGCGGCCTTGGCCTCAGGCACCGGCAACCTGTTTTTGGTCATCCTTCTGGTATTTATAAGCACTGCCCACCCACCCTTGTTCCTGTTCCTGCACCCCTGTTTTGGATCACCTTCAACACAACAGAGTCTTGTAAACACTTCAGGCATCACAGGACTTAAAACCCTTCATAGTAATTAACTGTTCCTGCCTTTGTCTTTCTGGATAGGCAGAGCAGTTTGTGTCCCACGCATCTTTATATCTCCAGGGCCCCGCACAGTGCCTGGCACATAATCACTTGTCACAAATAAACTGTAAACAAACAAACCCAGGTTTGAATGAGACTCAAGAGGAAGAGACTGATGGAGGTGCAGTCGTGTCCCTCCCCCCCCAACCGTGGCACATTTAGGGGGGAAGCACACTTCCTGCTCTTGCTTCTCCCAGCCCTCAGCCCACGCTTCCTGTGGCAGCCTGTGTGGAGGGTACCTGGTCTCCCCGGGAAGGAAGGTGACCGGCATGGTTTCGGGGCAGCCTTGGCCGGGGTGCCAACTGGCTTTGCAGGCGGAGCAGAATTCCATGTCGCAGGCTTTGCACTGCACCAGCTGAGGGGTCTGCAGCCCCACCTCCTGAAGCTGGCACACAGCCTGGCAGGTGGACGCCGGGCACCAAGTCCGACAGGGGTCCAGGAGCACCTCTAGCACAGGGAGACAAAACAGGCAAGTCAAACTCTGCAGGCCAAAGGATCTCGTGGGGCTTCGGACTGAAGGATCACGTCAGTGCATCGCTTCATGTATTTACTGGCGAGAACAATGTCCAGACAATGCAGTCAGATGCAACATGCCCTCATGATCTGGTGCCTGTCTGGCTCTTTCTCCTCCCCTCCAGCCACTCCCCACTTTCAACCCCTCTCCAAATACACTTGGAATACTTTAGGGACCATACTGCCTGCCCAGAACGCCCATGGCCACCCAGGACACCCCTGCTTGCCCTCGAGGCTCGCATGCCACTACATCCCAGAAGCCTTGTTGGACTGCCTGTCTGGGCCCCCGCAGACTGTAGTCTAGGCATTGCTTCTGCTTCCTCGTTTGCTCCCCTAGGACACAGCTTTTCAAGTCAGGGCTGTGTCTTCAGTCTTATAGCCTCACCACCTGGCCAGGGTGAGACACGCAGCAGACACTCAGAAAACGTTTGTTAAGGATGGAAAGAAAAGAGGGAAGGAAGATGGCCGGATTCTTCACATCAAATGGCTCATCCGCCTAAGATCGTCTCCCCCTAGATTTAAATCTAAGCCATGAGCCAACTCCTGTGTGAGACGGCCAGGTTTCCATCCCAAGGGGATCCCATGTTACCAAGAAGCCTGATTTAATGAAATTAGTCAGGAAGTTATTTGGAAAACAGGATTCCCTGAGGCTCCCATTCCTTCATATTCTTCTTCAAAACTCCTGTTTCTTTAAATAATGGGTCCCCAGCTGCCCTTCCTCCTGAGCCTGGTTATTCACTTCATTCACCCCCTCGTCCAGAGCAACATTGGATTCTCCATGCGGGGCAGTGGGAGGGAGAACCTGACAGGAAACCACACGGAATGCAGACCTTCTGCCAAAAAGCCATCGGAGGTCAAAGGATTCCAGATCTATTTTCAAAGGCCTTCAAGCAGGCCACTGATTTCTAAGCTCTGCAGCTGGGCTGCTCTTGGGAAGCTGTCCCAGACAACTGAACTTCCCGGGAAACTTGGAAGGCAATGGAATTGCAAGGTTCTCCACCGTGTGACCCACCGACAGCCAGGGAAGATTCAGTACACCCGCATCGAAAACATGATCGGTGCTCACTGGGGATGCACTACAGGCTGCGGGCTGTACGCGGGCCCAGGCCTCACCTAACAGGCTTCCACAGCACACACCGGTATTTGCCACGTCCCCCAGTTAAATGGGGAGGCAGATTCAGCCCCCCAGGAGTAAGCCTGCATCAGGTACAACCTGAAAACCATCCAGGGCGGGCCAACTTCTCTGTAAAGGAGCAGACAGTGAGTATTTTAGTCTTTGAGGCCCATGTGGTCTCTGTCCAACTACTCAGCTCTGCTGCTGTAGCACAAAATCAGCCATGTTGATCTGTAAATGAGTGTTGCGATAAAACTTTATTTACAACCCCAGGCCCAGGTTGGCCAACGTGGCCCACTGGCCATGGTTGGCTGACTCTTGTTCTAATCTAACTCCTTGCCTCTGCTTTGTTTTTTTTTTTAAGGGAGGTTAATCAATGACACAAAACAAACAAATTGGTAGGTCTGGCAGAAGATTAGAACGACTTGATAATATAAAGGAACTGTGGAATTCAGAAAACGTGCCTCTTTTTAACTGATCTTCATTATAGTAATGTGAAATCTTCATGATGCTCCTAATAGTGAGTGAATGAGTAAAATTAGCTCTTGTACTTAGTTGAGAGTTTCAGTGTTTGCTCTTCTAAGAATGTTTCTGGCTGTCAGATCTGAGGAGGTGGCTTTGTGGGAAAATGCAGCCAATGCCTCTGGGGCCTATGGGTGGGGCAGCTGCCTGCTGCTCCCCTGAGCTGAGGGGAAAGGAGAAAGAAGGAAGAGGGATGCAGGAGCTGGCCTGGGGCAGTGAGTGCTTCCTGGAGGTCTGGGAAGACCTCAGGGTACAGAGGCCGCTCCCACGGGTCCTGCTCAGGAACTGGAAGCTGTGCAGTTCACCTCGCTGCCCTCTCCCTCCTCGATCTGATTCACCCCCTTGAGAATTTCTCTACACAGCTCTCTGCCTTCCGTGCTAGTGTGTGAAGTGCGTGGGCCCAGCTGTGCCCCGACTAGATCACGGGGTCCCTTGGGTACACAGCACCTGAGGAAGGGCACTGCAGGACGTGGGCGCTCAGCAAGCGCAACCCCACAGGACACGTGGAGAAACCCTCAGCCTGTCCTGCTTTCTTTCCAACTTGACACTGGCTAGTGCTGGTCTGCCTGAGAGCCTAAGGGACATTGCTGTCCAATTTAGGCCCTTCCGGTCCCACTGCTCTCCCTGCCCTTTATTCTGCTCTGAGGAGCCTGTGACATCAGGAAGGGGCTGGCTTCCCCAAGCCGGCTGTGTCTCTTCAAGCATATCTCTGCTGCATGCCACCTTCCGCTCATTTTCCTGCACAGCTACGGGCTGCGTCTTCGTGAAAGGCCCACTAATTGTATTACGGAGTGCAGGGCAGAGGAGACATAGTTAAGCTTTCCAGGGTAATGACTTAAATTTTTTGACCTTTGTCCTCATGGAGCTGTGACATGGCACTGCCTGTCCCCATGGGGAGAGATTCCCTATTGGAGAGATAAAGGGCAAATAAAAATCTGTCCAATTTGCTGACTGGAAACACCCTCCAGTGCTGCCAGGGCACATCAAACCCTGTGAACGGCCCCAGGCTTTTCTCTTGGACTTCTATTAATATTCTACATCATCACTCCACTTCGAGTTCTGCCAGCTGGGTGTACAAGATGGGAGTCAACCAATAAGAAAATCCACACTAGGGCAATATCAGAGTTTTTGTTTTCTGGATGTGTATATGCACACATATCTATGTCTATCTATCTATCACATATATATCTAATTATATACATTAGGTACATTATATCTAACATTTTATATACACAAATACAAGTATATATTTTCAAAAAAGGCAAGCAGTATATTTTCTGGCACTCTAGAAGAAACTAACCTTAACTCCCATCTCCCAAAGATGTATTAGTATTAGATTAATGAAGCAGGGCCCTAAGAGCTCAACTTATCAAAAAGCCCAAGCCTTTTTAAAAAGTGCTTTTTTTGTTTTAAACACTGTTTTGCACGCTGTGAAGGGCAATGCGCTCAGCGTTGCCTCACATCCTGGCACTGGCTCTTCTTACACTGGCGGCTGGGCTGGTGCACTGGCTACACACCGTGGCAGCAGGTTCCGTCCTGTCCGGAGGAGGCGTAATTGTCAGCAGTCCTTGCCTGTGGTCAGGTTCATGACTGATGGGTAAGCCCAGCAAGCTATTTAATCTCTCTGAGCTTCACTTTCCTTTAAAAAAACGACTCCATACAGGACAAGACCTGACTTAGCATTCACTGGACCTGCACTCTGCTGTCGGCAGGACAAAGAACCGGGGAAGCCGCAGGCCCTGCCCCTGGGTGGCAGGAGCCTCAGGAGAGATGGACATGAAAACAACAGCAGCAGCCTGGCGCCGTCGGTGCTCAAACAGGAGCATGGGTGTGTGCAGTGGGCACGCAAGTGAGGGTGAAGGACCTCTCCCTGGAAAGCCTATCCTGCTCAGCCTTTAGAGTATTCCGGTTGGGAGAGTGGGTGCTCCCAAAGAAAACAAGTCCCACAGCCTCCTTCCTGGCTGCCTGCTTGCCAAAGACCCAGCTAGAGGGTGGGGAAGTTTAAATTAAAATCCAAGCTGTTATATCAGATGAGACGCTCTAAGACCAAATGGAGACATCGTTTGCAACTTAAACTAACCACAGGACTTTGGGTAATAAATGTTTTCAGAAAATCATGGAACTGATTTTCTTCTGAGTTTTCTTCTAGAGCATCCTCTCTGACTACATTTCAAAGGGACAGAACAAGTCAAAACTTGCTTTCTGATCATATCTCAAAACATGGTCAATGTACTGGCTATAATCAATAGCTATATTTTAGCTCTAACATTTTAACATTTCATTCAGACAGGTCTTTGGTCATATTAAGTCTATGTTGTGTTTTTTCTTGCTTTTAACAAAATGTTAGTAAAGGTTTTAAAGTGATAGGTTTAAGAGAATTTTTAACCTAAGTCAAATTGGCTTCCTTTTTATGAAAAGAAAAAAAAAAAATCTTTGACTAAGCCAAAGAACTGAAGAAATAACAACAGTTAAAATCATTAGGTAGGAAAATTTACCCAGCTGCATTTTTAAATTAAATTCAACGTCATGGAAAGTTCATTTTCTTAAAACTCAAATAACCGCCAGTTTCTGTCAAGATTCTCTCTGGAAAATGTTTTCAGAAGAGGCTGAAAGTCTCCGAAATCCAAATTAATCAATTTTATAGCTCCACATACTGACTTTTGTATCACATAGCATTATATTTAAGCCATAAACTGCCCCAAAGCAAATGATATATGCCATTTAAATAAACAAGCTCTTGCAAACAAATTTCAATGTCATCAAAATTCCTGTTTGATTTTTTTAAGTTGGCCACACATCGCCTTTTTTTTTTTTTTTTTTTTGAGACGCAAGCCTCAAGAGGAAATACAGCTATCTTTACCATTTCTTTAAAAAAAAAAACAACAAAAAAGAAAACTTTCTGCATTCAGCTAAACCAGGATTCTCTCAATACTTTCCTCTGGTCTATTTTGCATTCCATTCCCATCTTGATGGTGTTTTCCTGGAAGCATGAAGCCCAGGGCTGCCTCTCAGTAACAAATGCCTGATGTAGACAGGGTCCTGAGAACCAGTCCGGGAAGAGGGGAGAGTAGACTTCAGTGATTACAAACCGAGACGAAAATTCTGGAATGTGGATGCGGCATCTTCACAATAAAGTTTTGCATAAGGAGCATCATCTACACATGTCTGTTAATCTGCTCATTTTCAGATGAGCCCAATGTCCAGAACATATATCAAAACGAGGCCAAACGCAATCCACAGACTCTTTAAAATATCATGTTATGATCCTGGTGTACTTCAGAGAGCAAAGATAAACACCTGTCCTGGATGTTCAACATGTTTTAATGCTTTGCTATGCCATCTAGAAAATGATGTTAATTCTGCTCTGGGCACACTCCGCGCCGTGCTCCTGGAGAACCCCGGAGTCTGCGACAGGCCCGGCTCCAGCCAGGAGGGCTGTGCGGGCACTGCAGGAGGAGGTGGTCCACATTGCGCCCCACCGCCCACTAGAGATGGAAATCAGGGCAAGTCAGTTCGCCTCCGGGCGTCTCAGGTTAATGGACAATGACAACCTTGCACGGCTGTTGTGACACTTAGTGAGATAAGGGATTTAATTATTCACCGGGCACTGACTAGTCTAGGCCTGCAGAGGGTGGACAGTGAGTGCAAACGGACAAGCTACACTCTGCTGTCAGGACAGGGATCATCACCATCAATTCTATGCTTAGCTCAGGAATTCCTTCCACGCCTTTGTATCTTTTAAATTCCACACAGGTCTAAGAGTTTAGTCCTCAAACCGTTAGGCCTTAACCTGGCTGAAGAATTATGCCCCATGAGGGTCACATCTCTTTACACCACCCCTATAAGCCCAGACCCCCACAAACAAGTTGTGCTTCATGAATCCTTCCTGCTACCACAGAGATCCCCAACAAAGGCTTCCAACTGCGAGCCCTTCAGAGAATTCAAAATGACAGTTGAATTTCAGAAGTCTAATTGACATCGACTTTTTCACTTCTATTGTAGCCAAATGACGTACAGTCCTTTCTACCAAAAGCGCTCCCCGAGAATTACCCAGGTTCTGTCATAGGAACGTAACCAGCTAATATAACAGGGCACCTACCTCTTTCAAATTGTAGCTTTTTATATCTTTGCATAATTTCAGCCGCAACCATGCACTCAATCTAAGGGGAAAAAAATACACATAAGTATAACAGACTGAGGGCTAGAATACAATGCAAAGTCAGCCTAAACAGAATCCACGGTGCCCTGACAAGCTAAGCAGGGCATCCTCGTACACGTTAAAAAACCAGATTCGTTCAGTTGTACGTGCCTCGTTCTCCTGCAGGCGGCCCTGTTTGGGGCAGGCAGCATCAGGGCAGCTGATTGCAGTTTCTAACCCTTCTTTGATCAAGAGCTCCACATACTGTTTCAGGCACTGAAAAAAAACAGAGAAGTATCTGTAAACATCTTTACTTCCTTCAGGCTGAAGGGGCAGTGATGCATAAAAAATGACGAGCCAAGCACATCAATCCATTACGGTTTTGTATCTTCACGGTGCAGCCCACAGCAACCACCAAATGAGAGGTTTTCTTCACTCAACAAATTCTTTTGGGGTGCCCCTTCTGTGCCAGGGAGTGTGTGCCGGGTCACAGAATGAAGGCTGTGGGTTGGATCCCTGTGTACAACCTCAGCAAACACAAAGCCAGTATGTCTAGAAGTGAGGGAGGTCAGGAAGTCGTATTTCTCAAAGACATAGTAGACACCAGGCACTGTACTCAAGCCTTTAAATTCCATTGTTGCGTATACTCCTTAGAACATTCTTACAAGAAAGATACGACTGTTCTACCTTTCAGATGTGACATCTGAGTCACCAAAGAAGCAAGGCGGAGCCGGATTCAAACCCAGCCTCACTCGACGCTAAAAGGCCCCTGCACTCCCCGCTGAGAACCCACGTACAGCTGCCCATCCTCCCTCACCAACACCTCGCCTCACCCACCCAGCAGTTCCTTCTACAGCCTCACCCACTGGGAAGACTGCTGAACATCTGACAAAAGTCCAAAAGATCAAGGGAGGCCACGGAGCCGAGTTCCTGTCAAAGGTGACGAGGCTTTCACAGGAGCAACATACCCTTGCTCTAATAGTCTACTAGTCTCAGAAAGCCAGTGCTTCCCTGAAAGGCACATTATAAACAATTAGAAGGAAAGACATGGCCTTCCCCAGGTCAGCTCATTACCAAATGTGACTAGAGATGAAAACTCTGAAGACTTACCTAGGAACTCAAAGAGCACATGAAACCGGGGCCATTAAGTGAAGGGAAAACAATGGGAACCATCTCAACAGCGTCCCCAAACCAACCTTTAGTCACAGCCCCAGTACAATATTTGGGGTTCACAATACTAACACTATTATACTATTATAATAACACTATTAAATATAATAGCAATTCCTCAAGAAAAGCCCATAAGCTCTGTTTCCTGAGCCTCTACCTCTGCCCAAAACATATACTCCACGTCATTCTCAGAATCCATGGTTTTTGTCAATGCATGGGCCTAAAGTGAGATCCAGCTGCAAGTCCTACTAGTTCTATGCCTAGAACAAGTCTGTTAGTCTCTACCAGCCTCATTTTCCCAATCTGCAGTTTGGGGTGATTTAACCCATCTCATAGCGGAGTTGTAAGAATTTTATGCAAGAGAAAGAGTCTAGAATACTCCATGGAATACAGTGCATGCTCAATATATAAATATAATTTGATCTAAATGGGTAATTCTCCCCATTCTAGCAAACCAGAATATTTCATCCATTAAAGACACTAGATAGCAATTTCTTTAAAAAGTACAAATCAAGGTAATCCTCAAAAAGAGCCATTTCCCACAGCTTTTCTCAAGAGCACTAAACTGAATGCTGAGACATCACATGTCAATTGCAATGATGGTGCCTGTGAGACGAGACCCCTGCATGGCAGGCTGTATTCCTTTGTCCTGCCTGACTCCTGGTGCTTGCAGAGGCCCTGAACTTAGATTACTCACAGATCATCCACATTTCACCAACCCAATGACTATGAGAGAGTTCTCAGGGTACCGAGCATGGAAAAGCCCAGTCTTGGAGCTCCACTTGAGGCATGAGATGGGAGAAGTTTCTGAGGTAAACTCATCAAAACCAACACACAGGCCTCCCCAGAACAAGGGAGGGCAGAAGATGAGGAGGAGGGGGAGTCACACGGAGCCTCCGTCAGGCCTGCACCCCCGCTCCGGCAGCACCAGCTGACCTGTCTGGAAAGATAGCGCTGTGGCTCAGCAGTGTGCAGCCCTTGCAACAATGGTCTTTTTCCACTTGGGAGGCCACTGGAATGTCCTGCTTATGGCTAGGTGCAACATGAGGAGGCTTTGCAGCCAGACCTTCTAGGTAGAAGCCATGGACCGGTGACTTGATGGGCCACAGATCCCATGGCCATAAAACTGTCTCACTGGGCTTTTGTGACAGGAAGAAAGAAACTATATAAAAGTGCCCAGCACAGTTCCCAGGACACAACACCAGCTAATAAACAGTGACTGCTTTTATCCGTGTTTGTCTATCCATGTGATACACTTTTTACAGCCACAGCGTAAAAAAAGCAAACCTTTAGCAACAAGATCATTATTTTATTTTCTGTAATTAAGTTTGTCTAAAGTGGGTCTCTGGAGGACTCTGGAATGCCATAAACTGATAAAATGCTGAAAACTCTCACAATATTGTGCAGAACAGTACATAATGAGACAGGGTTTATTCCAAGAAGCAAAATACAACAATTAAAGCTGGTGTGAAAAACATACCCGGGGGACATCTACGGCTCTAAACATCGTTGTTCGAGAACTTGCCATTGACAACAAGTAGTGCGTCACGTCTGGCCGAAAGCTACCCAAGAGCGAACACTCTATGCCGTGAGAACGCATCTGCGCAATCTGCAAGATGACTATGTTCTGGGAGGATCAGTTTGTTTACTATGTAAAGAGAGATGAGGATCCAAGTGTCTGACCACGCATCCATCGAAAACAAGCCCAGTCTTCTTCCAGATATAAAGTGGGTCATGACTCACGAGCTATGTTTTTCAATCTAATAGCAAAAAGATGTCTTGAAATGAGCACAAGAAAAAAAAAAAGGGCTAACAGAGAAACTTCTGTAAAAATGAACATGCAGTACAAAAGCAGACACTGATGTTTTTTCCTACTATTGTATTAATGATAGCTATCAGTAATCAAATGTCTTCAAAGGCTCTACGTTAATCACTTTACGTATGTTAGCCCACAAACAATATGCAAGAATCACAAGAGGAAGCATCACTCCCATTTTATAGACGAGAAAACAAAGGCTCAGGGAAGTTGAGGATGGGTCCAAAGTCATATTCTATAAGCAGAGGAGCCACGACTCAAACCCACCTGTGCCTGACTCCAAAATGGTGGGTTTTTGTTTTTGTTTTCTTAATTTCTTGTCTTTTCCTCCTCAATTAAGAACTCCTCATGAGCAATCATTTATTAAGTATTTTCTGTTCCCTCATAAGCTTTCTCTTAGAACAAAGAATTACACGTTCATGACGCTTGGATGCAAAGATCATCCAAGGCAACAGGGCCCTCAGGGCCGCTGTGGAAAAAGATGCACAGACCATTTCTGCAGATCGTTACGATATGCTGTGCTCAGTGCCCCAGTGGGAAGGACAGACCGCTGCAGGGGTCCCCCCTTGGGTGGTCAGGAAGGCTTCCCACAGATGAAAAGCTGGCCCGAGGGACAACGACAACCCAGGAAAAGGGGCAACAGCTGCACAAAAGGCAGAAGGACGGAGGGAGGTGTCAAGAGCCACAGAATGTTCCAAGCATTTCATTTTCCATTTTGTCTTCCAACTCTCCGAAACCCTGGTCCAAAGATGAGGAGGCGGCAATGCTGACTTGCTAGGATACCTCCGTTGTGTCAGACATTTCCTGCCAAGGAGAAGTGGGTCACAGAGCCATATCTGCCTTTCCTAAAACCTCAGCAAATCTGAATTTTGTTTTCTCACTTGAAGGCCTGTGGCTACTGATGATCCCAACGGTAGGAGAAAACTCCCAGAAACTGTGCTCAAAGGTGCCTGAGGAGCATTATCAGGGATCCCTGTTTATGAATATCACATGGAGGCAGATCCAAACAACTACGGCGGCACCCCGTGAATAGTGTTTCAAGTGCAAGGACGCTGCAGTCACGCGCTGGGGTTTGAATCCCAGCTCACCCACTTATCAGCTGCGTGACTTGAGCAAGGAACTTCACCTCTCTGAGCCTCTGTTTCCCCATAATGTGGGATGAGATAAGGCCAGCAGACAAAATTGATCACTCGACAGCTCTGGCGCCCCAGAGACAGCAGTGCTCCGGGATAGTACTGACATACTCACAAGCGTATTGCTCAGTGTTTCTACAGCCATCAGTAATCAGTGATCTGTTGTTATTTCTCCTTTACTAGACGGCAGGGTCTTTGAAAGCAAGAACTGTCTATTATTTATCTTTCTAGACCCTGTGCCTAACTGAGTGCCGGTAAATAGCAAGGGATGAATCAATGCCACACAGATAGATAGACAGATGGCCACAGCTGGGTAGATGAGCGGAACATACAGAGTAACCAGACACCCACCAAGAGACATCCTCTGCATCTCGGCAGAGGAACTGGAGACTTGAGGGAGAAGATGTGCTGACCACACACCCCTGCCGCAGAGCGGCTGAACTGGCAACCCTGGTCCTCTCCACAGGCGGGAAGGCCGAGCCACTCTTGGTGGAGCTGTCATCAAGGAGGCTGGAGCCACAACCCCAGCACAGCATTATGAGGACGCCTTCTGCAAATCCCCCAGAGACTCTGCCGAGTGGCCTGGAAACCTGAAGCAAACCGCCCAGCAGGATCCACAGTGTATATTCTGGCAGTGATCCTCTTTCCTCAAGGCTGAAGGAATGTGACTTGACTCAAAGCAAGAAAGTCCAAAATACAGAGGTTGCTTTTGTAAAATACCTGGAATAAAAAGAAAATCCAGACTTTCTACCAAAAAAAATGCTCTCATCTACACGTACTCTCTGCTCTCTGCTCTTGCCAAATCATCAGATCCCCGGTCTCCTAAACAAACATGCCCATGCTCTCTGACTGCCACGGCTTTGCTGAAGGTCAAGTGTGGTCTAGAGGAAAGAGGTGGCCTCCACAGTCAGCTGTGCTCGAGTTAACATCACTCGACCCCATTGTTACCTCGGGCCTTTCTCTTAAGGTCTCTAAGACTCGGTTCCCTCAGCTACAGAACAAGGATAATGACCTACCTTGCAGACAGTAACATTGTTGGAAGGATTAAATTGGACCCACACAAAATAGGGCCTCAACAGTACTAGTTCCCTTGACTCTTGACCCTCTCCCTCACGCTCCAGCCTTATTCTATCATGTGGAAGTTCCACCATCAAAGA